CACAGTTCCAGCCGCATGTGATTTTGCTGAGCCAGGAGGTGGTTCCTGCAGCGTCTCAGTCTCTCTTTCTCCCACAGACTGTTCCGAGGCTGGAGCCCAGACCCGGAGCTGGTGGGCCTGAAGCAGCATCAGTGATGTCAGGTAGGAAAAGCTGTAGACAGAAAGTGACACCATTCAGGAATTCTCAGTGTTCGTATGTAATTCGCCCATTTAAGATTGTCTTAGAATGTGCCTATTTTCTGTAAAGACAATGTCTTTAGTCTGATTTTGTGGTTAGAGATGTTTTATTTTAAGTTTCCCCAAAGTAGGGGAAGGACTTGTGTGAATTGTACAAGAACGGAGCCGGGGCAGGGGTGGGGTGGAGGTGGGGGTTTTAAAACAACGCACTATAAAACTAACTGCCCAAGATAAAGTTCGAAAATTTTGCCTGAGTGAATGGATTCCATGACTGGGTTTACCAGAGTCATACAGTACATGGCTAGGTGCTGCCCAGCAAAGCGAGGAGGTTAGAGTGAAGGTATTAGGGACGTGAACTTGTAGCTGGTTAGGAAGGATGGATTTGGAAAGTGCCATTTTCAGGTACGCTGAATGACTACATTCTTTCCCAAGCCTTTCCTGCTTCCATTAGTTGTCAGTGGAACCTGTGCCATCCCTGAAGGGGCCCTTTTACCAGAGGCAGGTCATCATGAGCCTTTTAAAAGTCTACTTACTCTTCAAGGAGCTACACCTGAGGAAGCCTTCCCACCAGCCCCAGTTAGGCTGATTCTCTCAGGTGGGAGTTTTTTGATGGCAAATGACAGAAAGCTGGACCTAAAACCACTAGGCTATTAAGAAATGTATCAGCTGAAGGGCAGATCTTACAGCTTTCAGGAGCACCTGGTTTAGCCCAGATGAAGTCTCCAGGCTCTTAGAAGCCAGGTGGTAACAGCAGCCACCTTGTCTTCTTGTCATCAAATTTGGCAGCAGAGATGTTTTCACCCAAATCTAAACATTTGTCTTGTCCTCTCATTGACCTGTGATGAATCACATACCTCCCCTAAACTTGTCACTTTGGTCCAAGGTTTGATTAAGACTAATTGGGCTCATTTATGAGCATCAACTCTACCCAAGGGATCTGGTTTCCCAAGGGAAATTTGGGGACGGTTTTGAGCAGAAGTAGAAGTGGATGTTGGGTGAGAAAAACAGGAGCAAGCAATCTTCACCCCCAAGAGAACAGCTTTTCAATGAACTGGCAATTTATCTACATGACAGCACGATGGCCAGTGGTATGGAAATATTGATATCTCCAGCTCTTCGCCTTATACCTACCTCTTCCCCACTGGACCCAACCCCGACTACACTCACACAGTTTGACCAAAAGCTCTGGCTGGGAGAGGCTCAGAAATGTTCTGTCATTTTATGGGTAGGGGAAAACCTCAGATCGATAAGGGAAGAAAGCCTATGTCATACACTTAGAGGGAGAGAAGAGCCTCCAGATATAATAATCCACTGGGCATCACCTATTAATTTATACATCAGAGGTTTTGAAGTGCACGCTCCTTAAAAGTGAGAGATGTGGGACTGCTTGTCAGGGCCCCCCAGTGAATCAGAGGAGGGGTTCTATATTTGGAGGATGAAAGGAAATGAGTTGGCAATTTGCATGGTAGCAAGAAGGAGCCATGCTGACTTGGAAAAATCCCTAGTGCTGCCGGAGAAGCTTCATTTATTTGTTCAATGTTTCATTAGCGATACCAATGGCAGAGTTAGACTTCTGCTCCTTTAGACTAGCCATTTTGATTCTCTCCTGGTATTTCTCTTCTGTCACCCTTGGTTTAAATACCATCTCACTCCGCTCCGTCCCTCCCTCCCTCCCTCCCCAAGCGTTTTTCTTGATGCCTGCCAAAAGGCTGCGTATCTGATATTAACCTAAAACTTCCTTGATTCCTGAAAGTGAGTTATTCATTAACAGAACCTAAATTACTAGTTGTTAGGCAAATCTTCTCATTCTTTCCATTTACAGATCTGCTCAGAGAAATCTGTAAATCTACCGCAGAAATAAGTGAAGCTTTGTGCTAATCGTTAGTTCTAAGCAGAAGTTTGGGAGAGGGAGGAGAAGTTACTCATTTGCCCGATTCCGCACGGTGAGTCCACGGGGAGGGATGAAGCGCGCTGCTGGCTTGACAAGCCGCACGGAGAGGCGAGGCTGCAGCCCACAGGACAGGCAGGGGCTGCAGGGCTGCCTCTGAGTTCGGTCATGGGTCCTGCCGAAGTGCTCTGAAGTCCAAGCTTTTTGCCTTCTGTTTCCTGTGATGGCCAGAGTTTCCGGGGCTAAGAGGTATGGCTGGCTCCTTCCCTGTCCTTTTGTTCAGCAAAAACAAAAGCTAATTAAAGTAAATGTCTGAAGCTGCAGAGAGGCAAGGTTGTGGGGCGAGGGGAGCTGAGCTGGAAACGTCCAGGGGCTGGCTGATTATGCAGATAACAACGTGCATTTGGGAACTGTGTGAGCTGTGTGTCTAGCTGTGTATGCATGCATTCCAGTTATTGGGGCAAAAATGCCACTTCTCTGTGGGTTATTAAAACATGTCTCTAGGCCTCAGGAACAGAAAGCTGTGCTTCTAGATTCAGAGTATGTGCATTTTTGTTTTACTCTGTGGTGCTTTAGTCTTATTCCTATGTCATACTTTTGTTTATCTCAAGAAAACATTTTGCAGGCAGCAAAGAAACTGGCCCTGCCTCTGATTTTTGAAGAAAATTAAATACTGTAGTATCATTGCAGTCAGTGGGCTGGGCTTAGTAACCATTACTGTCTGTGGCTACTGTTGTTTTTTCCTTTGGTATTTCAGACTTCTTACAAATCATAATTGAATCGAACCACTTTTTTGTTCTTTTAGACACACGTTTAAATTGCTATAGTAATCAACCATTGGATTCAATGATATTTACATATTTTTTCCATTTAAAGAATAGAAAAAATACAAGATTATTTGAATTGGTCATATAGTTGTTTGACACATGAAATTTCAATGTCAATGAAAGTGCATCTAACTTCGAGTTTTCCTCATGGTTGGAGTGTTTGGGTATGTTTTTTGGAAAAACACAAACCCACAGGATTTTTTTAGGATTATTTTTTAGCAAGATTTGTATCATCCCCGAATAAATATGACCTGCAAAGTCAAAATTTACAGGAGAAGATGGAAACGCTATGAAATGATTATGACAAATCGCAAAACTTCGTTTTAAAAAGTTTGTTAAGACTTCAAAATAACTATCTCATTCTCTTTGAACAAAAATGTTTCTTTCTGTGTTTTAATAAATTGAAATATGTATTTAGAATGAAGTAGAGTTTTTGAGCTCTTGGCTAACTAGGCCTGCAAACCTGCTTTTTATACGTGCTTATGGTAATAAGCTTGCCACAAATTTAAAGCTTATGAGTTCTAGCAAAAACGTCTGAGGACTGAGTCCTTTAGCATCATTTGGAATAACCCAGGCTCAGAGGCTTTCAGCAGAAGTGTAGCAACACACCACAGCAGAGGGAACGGAGAGATACCGGGAACAATGGACATCTTGTGGGAAGGGCTGAAATGTATGCGGCCAATTCCCATGGGAACGCCTGGAGTCCTTTCACACTGTGTGAAAAAGATGTCCCTTCAAAAGAATCTTTAATCCTTTCTTTCAAGGGAAAAATCTATCTGAGAACTTGATTTTAAAGTTTCTAGAACCCAAATGGGTCTGAGTTAGGCCAATGGACATTTTTGATACAGGTGAATAGCATGAAAATGTTTTCATGCAGGTAAATAAATATTGCCATTCCAGAATATTCTGAAAGGAGGAAACCAGGGCATATCCTAACCTGAGTTAGAAGTTAGAGGCTGAACTTTTTAGAATATATTGGCTTCCTATTATAATTGCTGTGGTTGAGACCCTCCCCCCACCCAAGAACTTAAATATTTCACAAGTGGTATCCCAATAGCGGGGTGATTAAGTTCTCCAGTTCATATAACATATATATATATATTTTTTTTTTTTCATTTAGTAGATTCTATAAATGTGTCATAGAATAAGCCACCACCAATGTTTTATTAGCATACTTTGGATGTAGGTCACCTTGGAGAGTCATAAAGAAAGTGGCTTGTGCCCTATATGGGCACTCCCTTCTCTCCAATAAACACTGGAGTGAGCACTGCACTTACATGGAAAACTCAGGCATTCGGATTACTTAGCCACTAAAAGTCTCGGATACATTGTCTTCTATTCCATTTCTGCTCCATAAAAACCATTCACTGTTCTTTTCAGCCTTGGTGGGGGTGGGTCTGGTCACAGTAAGGCTATCTCTCTGGGGAACAAGACAAAGTTGCCCAAAAATCAACAGGGGCAACTTCAAGACAGTGAAGTTTACAGGTGAAAAATGAACTACCCAGACTTAAGACTTAGGGAAAGAACAACTACGATAGGAGCATGGCACCAATGGAAAAGGCTTTACGCATCTTTAATGCAGTGAAATCAATTTAGTTAGCGTACGGTAGTGTATTAGTTTGTGAAAGGTAAGGCATGGGGATATGTTAACAGGGGAATGAGTTGCAAGAATGATATCGTTAAGGGTATGATTGCTGTCACTTCTTTTGTGGTTTCTATATGCTGGGCTCCATGTTAAATGCTTTACATAATCTCATTAAATCAAAAAAAAAGCAAAACAACCAAAAAAAAGAACAAAAACAAAAAATGGGCGGCACCTGTGGCTCAAAGAGTAGGGCACTGGCCCCATATACCGGGGGTGGCAGGTTCAAGCCTGGCCCCGGCCAAAACTGCAAAAAAAAAAAAAAAAACCATATCATAATCCTTAAGGACAAATGAGTAATCTGATGCTGCTCAGGTTATCTAATTAATCTTCCCAAGTTTACACAGCAAGCACCGCTGAGATTAGAACCCGTTTGTGCCCTAGTTCCTACACTCTAACCCGGGGTCCTCAAATATTTTAAACAGGGGGCCACTTCACTGTCCCTCAGACTGTTGGAGGGCCGTACTGCAGGCCCCAGGATGAGTCGGCTGCTAAGCAGGACAGGCAGCTGCGGCAAAAACACCCGGTGTGCCGGATAAATGTCCTTGGCAGGCCGCATGTGGCCCGCGGGCCGTAGTTTGAGGATGCCTGCTCTAACCACTCTGTTCTTCATCCACAGAGTGTCCAGCCCTGGACCCTACACTTTAAAAAGAAAATGTACCAAACCTGGATATTTGACTCAAATAGTACAAAAGCAATTTATGTAACCAACAGGTTTATACCCCTGTAATATTCTGAAATGTTAAAAATTAAATTAAAAACTAAAAACCCAGTAATGAATGGAGGATGATGATATAAGGCCGAAAGAAACACAGTGTATTCCATTAAAAGGGGAGACTTTGTGAGTCTCCTGTAAATCAGAAAACTGCTGAGTGAATACACCTGCCTGTGCATGACTGGGTCTCCCTTTTTATGAAGGAACTCCTCAAGGGGACAGTTCTCTCCATGTGGATGGTATAAGTAAAATTGTGATTGATCACCAAGTGTCTAAGAAGATTTCTGAGGTCGTTCTCCTAAGCATGGGCCCTGATTGAAGGGAGGCCACCCTGAATGCACACCTTTTGGGGCTGTACCTTCCAGGGACTCTCACAGTGTCCACATCCTGGTGACCATAAAGATGGGTTTACCTGGAGGATTTCTGCCCCTGCATTTTACCAGCAGACAGGTGATCTGATGACAATAGATCAACTGCAGGAACGGATAAATTAGGAGCAGAGGAGAAGACAGTTGAAAAACATGGTTTTTAAAAAGCACTGTCTATCCTGAACAGGATAAACATTCCCTGAGTGTAGCTTCACTATTTAAAAGTACAAACCCACCATATCTAGTCCACGAGACCCTTTACAAAGAACTTCCCAGCAAATAAGGTGGAAACAATGAGTGTATGCGTGTTTGTGAAGGTGGTCCCATTTATTGGTGACTTCTACCATCTTTAAACTTTCAGCAATGTTAATCTCGGGGCAGGGCCAGGGTATAGTTTCTTTAGGAGCTGTGACTTTAATACTGTGTGACATCTTGTGGGAGAGGGCAGTGTTAATGAAGCAACGGTTCTGCCTCCTCCCCTGGGCTTTGTGAGACGGCTCCCTGCAGCCCCTGCATTCACCTGCTGGAGTTCCTGGGGAAAGCTGTGTGTCCTGCCTGGCTCCCTGCAGTGCCCATTCTTCCCTGGGAAAGTATAGATTTTCATGAACACAGGGAGTTTTGTTTTCTCTGTTAAAAAACAACTCTCCTTTACTGGAGCAGGCTTTGTGTTTCACCCCAGGAAACAGAGTGTTTCACTCAGAGGTAACTCTCCCCTGGGCGAGGTGCAGCCTGTCACCTGACCCAGCTCTGGAGCTGCCGGTGGCATCAGGCTGCATTCCTTGAATTCTTCCACCCGGCACCAGTGCGGCAATGAACAACTTCAGGCTCACTGAGCTGAGTGGATTCCACTCCCTGTGCCTTCCGAGTCTGCTGCCCCAAGCTCCTGCCCAGTCTCAAACCGTACAGCTGAATACAGTGCACCCTGAGGAGTAGAACACAGGTAAACTGAGTCTGCAGGGGACAGGTGTGACTCAGAAATGTGCCATGCTGGGGGCACAGTCATTTCTCTTTTTGTGGTTTCTGCTGCTGCGTACAGATAGCTAACGCTTCACCAGCCAATACCTGCTTAAAGAAAAAAAAA